TCCATTCCATTGTCATCTGGGTTTGCTGGCTGAATGGTAAAAAGAGGGAGGGGAAGATTTATTGGCCAAGTGATGTGTTGGTTAAAAGAATTTTCACAAACCCTGTCATCACTAACCAAATAAATGTTGGACAATTTAATTCTACATTTCTATGAAATTAATATCAACCCAGCTCTAATGTCAAGTTGACATCCGGCATTCTTATCACCTAGCCAACCAACCAAGCCAGATCACCTTGTCTCTGGAAATCCCATACAGATGGTGACCTGGAACATGGCTGGCTGGAAAGGGATGGTTGATAGAGGAATAATGAATTTTCTCTCTAGATTTGATGTAATAGCCTGGTTAACTGAAGTGAATGAACCAGTACAACTGCTGGGCTTTCAGGGATAGGCCTCACCAACCCAAAAAACAAAGGGAGACCCTCTGGTGGGTTATGCATTCTTATAAAGCAAGAATTGCAATGGCAGGAGGAGAAACTATACAGTTTTGTTCGGGTATTTGGAAGGCCATAGTAAAAGAAATAATGACAAGAAGTCTTCATTGCGGGAGTTTAGAAATGGCAGAAAGTAAAGTGGGCACTTGTACATCACTGACTAATGGTGAACTTAGCAAAGTATGTTGGAAAAACTTGTATTTTGTGCTGCATTTCTTGATAATAGTAAGAAAACCAACAATACATGACAATATGCCCATCTTGGACAACCTATGAATCTTCACAAAGGAAGAAGGAACAAATCAACATTAAATAAAAAAAATATGGTTTTTTTACTCATGTCTGAGATGAATCTTTTCCTATTTAGTAGTTCTCAAAAACAGAATTGTTTAGCATTATGTATCAACAATCAAGGTTGGTAGATATCAGTGTTAATTACAGCAATTCCAGTACAATGTTTCATATAATAGATACAGATAACAGATAATCAGAGTTGGAAGGAACCTTGTAGGTCATCTAGTCCAACCCCCCCACCCAATCGGGAGACCCTACACCATTTCTGACAAATGGCAGTCCAATCTCTTCTTGAAAGTCTCAAGTGATGGCGCTCCCACAACTTCCGAGGGCAAGCTGTTCCATTGGTTGATTGTTCTGTCAGAAAGTTTCTCCTTATTTCCAAGTTAAATCTCTCCTTGTTCAGTTTCCATCCATTATTCCTTGTCTGGCCTTTAGAAAATAGCTTGACCCCTTCCTCCCTGTGGCAGCCCCTCAAATATTGGAAGACTATCATGTCTCCCCTGATCCTTCTCTTTAGTAGACTAGCCAAGTCCAGTTCCTGCAACTGTTCATTGTATGTTTTAGCTTCCAGTCCCCTAATCATCCTGGTTACTCTTCTCTGTACTTTTTCTAGAGTCTCAACATCTTTTTTATAATAGGGTGAACAAAACTGAATACAGTACTCTAGGTGTGGTCTTACTAAGGCTTTATAGAGTGGTATTAGTACTTCCCCTGATCTTGATTGTATCCCTCTGTTAATGCAATTTAGGATTGCATTAGCTTTTTTGGCTGCTGCTGTACACTGCTGGCTAATATTTAGCTGGTTGTCCACTAAGACTCCAAGAACCCTCTCACTGTTACTCCTATTGAGCCTGGTTTCACCCAGTCTATATGTGTACTTTTGTTTTTTCTTGCCTAGGTGTAGGACTTTACTTTTCTGTACATTGAATTTCATTTTGTTAGATATGGTCCAGTGTTCTAGTCTGTCAAGAGCCATCTGGATCTTGAGCCTATCTTCTTGTGTGTTAGCTATTCCTGCCAGCTTAGTATCATCTGCAAATTTGGTAAGTTCCCCTTCTATTCTCTCATCTGTGTCATTAATGAAGATATTGAACAGTACTGGCCTAAGACCTTGTGGCACCCCACTGCTTACTTCCCTCCATGTAGACTTAGACCCATTAAGGACTACTCGTTGAGTATGGTTTGCCAGCCAGTTGCAAGTCCATCTAGTGGTGGTGCTATCTATTCCACTTTTTTCTAGCTTACTAAGAAGTAGGTTGTGGTCTACTTTGTCGAATGCCTTGCTGAAATCTAAATATATTATGTCCACAGTATTTTGCTGGTCTACTAATTTAGTCACTGTGTTGAAGAATGAAATAAAATTGGTTTGGCACGATCTGTTTTTAACAAACCCGTGCTGACTGTTAGTTATTACTTTACTTGTTTCTAGATCTTGGCAGATTTGTTTTTTTATTATCTTTTCCAGTATCTTCCTGGGTATTGATGTTTGGCTGATTGGTCTATAGTTTCCTGGGTCTGGTTTTTTTTTACTTTTTTGAAGATGGGAACCACATCGGCTCTTTTCCAGTCCTCTGGTAGTTCCCTGGTGCTCCAGGATTTTTGAAAGATATGGTGCAGTGGTTCTGAGATGACCTCTGCCAGCTCCTTTAAAACTCTGGGATGTAATCCATCAGGCCCCGGTGATTTGTTTTCATCAAGATCGGACAGGTGTTCTCTTACTATTTTTTTCCTTATTTTAACTTTTATTTCTGGTCTGTCTTTTACAGTTATGTTTTGGGTGGGTTGAGCTATAGTTTCTTTTTGCGTGAAGACGGATGCAAAGAATGAGTTAAGCAGTTCTGCTTTCTTTCTGTTGCCTGTTACTTCCTTGCCATCTTCTCTCTTTAGTGGACCAACTGTTTCCTTGATTTTTTTCTTGTTATTTATATGTTGGAAGAAACTTTTTTTATTATCCTTGACTTTTGTTACAAGTCTTTGTTCGTTCTGAGCCTTTGCTGTCCTGACTTCGTCTTTGCAGATTCTGGCTATCTGCTGATATTCTGCCTTAGCTGTATGTCCTTTTTCCATTTTTTGTACTTGTGCATTTCCACACCCACGAACCCCGCGAGGTGACCCAGTTGAAGGCCCAGTCTCAGGCATTTATGCCAGCGAGGTCACCGACGCCATCAAGGCCATGAAAAACGGTAAGGCAACAGGACCAGACGACATCCCTGCCGACTTCTGGAAAAAGGCACTACCGGGCTCGGCATTGTGGCTGTGCGAGCTGTTCAACAACATCGTCTCCACGGGAAAAGTGCCACACGACTGGTACCGCAGCACCACTGTTCCGATCTGGAAGGGAAAGGGCAGCCCAGCGGACTGCTCCAACTACAGACCGGTCAGGTTACTGTCACACACTATGAAGATCTTCGAACGTGTCCTTGATAAGCGCATTCGGGACATCGTCGACATCAGCGTCAACCAGGCCGGATTTATCAAGAACTGCGGCACCACCGACGCCATCTTCGGTGTGCGGATGCTGATGGAGGCTCACAGAGAGAAGAAAATCCCGCTCCACACAGCCTTCCTGGACTTGGAAAAGGCCTTCGACCGAGTCCCGCACGATCTCATCTGGTACGCACTGCGGGATCACGGCGTGCCTGAGCTGCTCGTACAATGGGTCCAACTCCTATACAGATGTCACAAAAGCCGTGTAAAAGCGGCAGCTGGGATATCAGAGGAGTTTAATATCACCGTCGGCGTACACCAGGGCTCCGCTCTCTCACCACTGCTGTTCATTCTGGTGATGGACACAATTACACACGACCTGTACACGCCCGCCCCATGGACGCTGCTCTACGCCGATGATGTGTTCCTGGCTAACCTGTGCAAGGCTGAACTCGAGCACCTAGTCCAACAGTGGCACGACCGCCTCGAGCAGTTCGGGCTCCGGCTGAACCTAAAGAAGTCCGAATACCTGACCACTGACAATGAAATGATAGGCTCCATCCACGTGAACGGGCAGGAGCTACCGCGCGCCTCCACCTTCAAGTACCTGGGAACTATTCTTGGGGAAGAAGGCCTACTACAAACTGAGGTGGCAGCCAGGATCAACGCAGCGTGGGGCAAATGGAAGTCCGTCACGGGCGTCCTCTGTGACAAGAGGATGCCGATGCGCCTGAAGGCGAAAATCTATAACTCTGTGGTGCGCCCTGTGGCCATATACGGCGCAGAGTGCTGGCCGGCGACCAAAGAAGTCGAAAGCAGACTCCAGATAATGGAGATGCGAATGCTCCGATGGTCGGTAGGCCTCACCCTACTCGATCGCGTCAGGAACGAAGAAGTGCGTAGACGGTTCAACGTCGTGCCCATCCCCACGGTCATGAGGCAGTCCCGGCTACGATGGTTCGGCCACGTGAGCCGCGCCAAGGAAGAATCTATCATCAAATCTGCAATGAAGGTGACTGTCGGAGGAGCGAGACCGCGTGGTAGACCTAAGCAACGCTGGATGGACACGATCAAGGCCGATCTAGAGATCGCGAAGGCAGACCCGACATACGTGGTAGACAGAGAGGTGTGGAAGCAGTACTTAAGAACATTAGCGGACCTCGCCCGAACGCGAGACAAACGCTGAAGAAAAAGAAGAAGAAGTACTTGTGCATTTTTTTCTTTCAGTTTGCCAGAGGGATCTTTGTGCAGCCATGCTGGTTTCTTCTTGGATTTCTTGTTTTTCTTTCTCAGTGGTATTATGCTGGTCTGGGCTTCTATGATCATACTTTTTAGAGTTTCCCAAGATTCTTGAGTTGTTTTCCCCTTTAGGATTTTCATCCATGGAATCTTTCCCAAGTTCTCTCTGAGTTTATTGAAATCAGCTCTTTTAAAATCCAAGACTCTGGTGTCATTATGTTCTGTTGCATGTGTTTGTGTTATGTTGAATTCTAGTATAGCATGGTCACTCTCACCCAAGGTTCCTGCAGTTTCAACTCCCTCTATCACTTCTTCTCTGTTTGTAAGAATTAAGTCCAGTATGGCTGTCCCTCTAGTTTCCAGGATTTCTCTACCTTATGCCCAACTCTGACACCGGGAGTATAACCTTTTGGACAACAAAGTTGTCAGCTAGGTTGGTTAGGAACTTATTTGATTTCTCACTTGGTGCAGAATTAGTTTTCCAATTGATATCAGGATAATTGAAGTCTCCCATTACTATTGTTGTGTGTTTCCTGCATATATTTGTTAGTTGGCTGGCAAAAAGGACAAAGATAGGTGGATAAAAGAATGTTTCACCTACCATTTCAATTTGCCTTTCTGGCCTCCTGAGAACTACCAGTTGTATCATGCCACGAATATTTCCTTCCATAGACATAGAACGCCTCAAAGTCTCCATGGCTTCATGGTTTGATTTTCCAAGCAAAGAGTCACTATTTATTGCAATAAGCTGGTCATTTATTCGTAACCGCCCATCCTGCCAAAAAACAAAAACAAAAACCCAATCTCATATTTTTAAATTTTTTAAATATCAGTCAATAATGTGTTAAATGCATTTAAAAAATATATATATTAAAGTTTCCATAAAATTCTATGTATTCCAAAAACACATATCTCCATCACTTTAAAACACCCTATTAGCAGAATTTTCATCATTACTATTGCTATAAGCATATTCTAAAATCTATTCTGCATTCTTCAACACATAAAAATAAAAAGAGCATAGTAAATCCACAAAAGACCCAATTTTTGAGAATCCAGGATTTCTCTACCTTATGCCCAACTCTGACACCGGGAGTATAACAAAAGTCAGCCCACAGATAAAATGTATTATATAAATTATATTAAATGTTCACATTGGTTGTCATATTCTTCTAAACATTTCCTTACTTTTTGGTACATGACTTCTGAACAATACAATACAATATTTTCTTTATAAAAATATTATTTCTATCAGCCAATCAATTTTTATTGAACACATGCCAGCAAATAAAAGCATTAAACCAGTAAAAATAAAAATAAAAAATTCACAAAATGGAAATTTTGTAAATGTGAATCTTTCCTTGTGTGTGTGTGTGTGTGTGTGTGTGTGTTTGAGGTGTAATACATTTGTAATAATTATTAATTATGTGTCAATGACAAGAGCTATTAGCCATTTTTAAAATAATTAGTTTAGTCATCCTAGTCCAAAGTTACAGATTTTATTTTTAATATACATAGAAGAAAACTTGTCACAAAGAGAAAAGTTTGTTATTATAACCGACCCATAGGACTTGCCCAGTGTATTATTACTAAGAAACTGAAAAAGAGTTCTTGTATGAGAAGAAATGTTGAACACTACTAAAATTTTTGAGAATGTGGGCAAAATTGGAATATTTAAAAGAAGACAAATGGAATAGAAATGGTAATAATTACCTCCTAAAGCAAAGAATGGATTTCTTCCTACTTTGTTCACAATTAATTTTTAAGTCAAGATGAGTATATATCTTTCACATTTTGGTTATAAATAGAATATATGGCTTAGAAATTCAGTACAATTATGCTGCATAGAGAGAGGTGCAATGGGTAATATATCAGAATCCAGTTTTAAAACAATGGGTACTTATAACAGCATTTTTGTTTTTATGTTTTTTAACTTTTTATTTAATTTTCTTTTTATATTTTAAAATTCTTTGTACCCTACCCTCCATTTATGCTGATCTTTGACCATAAAAAGATTGGTTTGATTTGAATGGCAAGAAAAATGAGCAGAAATGTAATATTTATCAATCACTCTCTAGTTACGGTAGCTTGGTTTAATAAAGAATTTAAAAATAGCAGCAGTCTTTTTTTTAGTTAATATTTTTTTATTTTAAACAAACATAGACAAACAAAACATAAAACCATCTTCCAGTTACATACAGTGTGTTGGTTGGTTACAAGTCTTTTGTGCTTCATCTCCATAGTCCTCACTGATAGTTTGTATAAATTCTCATATTATCCATCTAGTATATGTATATATATGTATTACTATCATTGTTAATCATTTATTTGACTATAACTATTATTCCATCATTTTATGCGAGACATTCAACATTTATATTATAACATTCAATACCCTATCATAAATCCATCCAATAATAATACATTATGTTATATCATCTATAATTCTATTATCCTTGAAGCTTCTGTATTGTTTTTAAATTTCCCTGAATATCCAATAAGTCTTTACACTTTAACATTTTGTTCAGGTCTAAATTATTTGGGTGGGTCATCGCTTCCATTGTGGATAGCCAGATTGGGATTTTAATGTAATGTTTCTTTTTAACTTTGATCCAATCATTTATCAACGAATCTCTGATCAGATGTCTGTGGAAATATTTTTGTTTGGTAGATCCTGTGTCCCAAAGCAAAGCATGCCATCCTCTCTGAAGATAATGACCTTCTATAGCTAATATTCTTTTATTTACATTAATCCAATCTTTTAGCCAAACTAATGTTGCTGCACTATAATATAATTCCCAGTTTGGCAATCCAAATCCTCCTCTGCTCTTCATATCTTGTAGTAGTTTCATTTTTATTCTGGGTTTTTTACCCTGACAAATAAATTTTGATGTCATTATATTAAGATTATCAAAAGAGGTCCTTTCTGGTTTAACCGTAATGGTTTGGAATAGGTATAGAAATTTTGGTAATATAGACATTTTTAGGGCTGCTATTCTTCCTAGCAATGACAATTGCATTTTAGTCCATAATTCTAAGTCTTTTTTTGTTTGTTGTAATAGCTTATTATAATTATTCTCCTTTATAGCCTTACAATGTGCTGTCAGCCATATTCCCAGGTATTTAATTTTTCTTGTTGTTTGAAGTCTGAGCACTCTTTCTAATTCTGTTCTTTGTAAATCTGTTAATTTTTTTTGCTAAAAGTTTCATTTTCTGTATATTAATTTTCAATCCTGCCACCACTCCATATCTTTCTAATTCCTTAATTAATATTTGTCCTTTTTCTATTGGGTCTTCAATAATAAAAGCCATATCGTCTGCAAATGCTTGCAGTTTATATTCTTCATTTCTAGTTTTCAATCCTTTTATTTCGGAATTTTGCCTCACTCATTCTAATAGTACTTCTAATGATAATATGAAGAGCTGAGGGGACAGCGGACAACCTTGTCGGACTCCTTTCTCTATATTTAAAGGTTGGGTATTTTCTCCATTTATTATATTTGCTTTTTGTACTGAATAAATTGCTGTTATAATATTCTCAAATTTGGTGCCGAAATTCATGTCATAAATTTGCTGAATCATAAATTGCCAGTTAAGGTTGTCAAAAGTCTTTTGAGCATCCAAGCAAACAAGGGCTACCTGTTTCTCCAGTGGGCTTCATAATATTCCAGATAAACCAGAGATATTTTTATTGGTATTTTACCAGAAATATATAGTAGATAATTGAAATATTTGATTGTAAATGTATTAACAGCAGCTAGAATTGTGTTTGCGAAAAATTGGAAAAATGAGAAAATACCAACGCAGGAGGAAGTCATTAAGAAAATAATGGAATGTGCTGAAATGAGTAAATTGACATTTGAAATTAGAGAACAAGAAGATAAACAATATTACAAGATACAAGATTTATTTTATCAATGGTTAGATAAAAAATATAGAAACATTACATAAAAATCCCAATCTGGCTATCCACAATGGAAGCAATGACCCACCCAAATAATTCAGACCTGAACAAAACGTTAAAGTGTAAAGACTTATTGGATATTCAGGGAAATTTAAAAACAATACAGGAACTCTAAGAACAAGGGCAACAGGTAGACTAGTGGGCTTATTTCCAAATACAAAGCTGATATAAAAATGACATAAAGGAGTACGGAATATCTGAAACTACAAAAATTAGACAAAATTTTATTAGGCCCAGATAAAAAAAAATATATTACCAAAATTTATAAATATCTCCTGGAAGTAGAAGTTAGAAGTTAGAAGAAGTAGTGAAAGGATGTATGATTGCATGGAGTCAAAATATTAGTCACAACATAAAGTTATTAGACTGGGAGACTGTATGGAATAGAAATCACAAATTAACAAAATCAGCAGCATGCAAAGAAAATGTATATAAAATGTTCTATAGGTGACACTTACCCCCTTCGATATTAGCGAAAATGTACCCTAAAATGAGTCCTATATGTTGGAAATGTAAAAAAAAACAGGGAACAAATTATCATATGTGGTGGTCTTGCCCAGAGGCTCAAAAATATTGGCTTAAAATCAAAAATTGGCCACAGGAAATCACCAAGGAACAATTAGACCTAGAACCAGAACTTTTCCTATTGGGGATTTTCCAAGAAAAATATGTAAAGACTTAAATTCTTCCTTTTTAATTTTCATCCCTTTTATATCCTTTTCTTCTCTAATATTTCTGTTTAACACTTCCAAGGTCAACACAAACAACAAAGGTGACAGTGTCTTGTCTTGTTCCTTTTCTTATATCGATAGAGTCTGTAAGTTCTCCCTCTATCATTACCTTTGCCGTTTGGTTATGATATATAGCTTCTATTGCTTGGATAAATTTTTTACCAAAGCCTATCTGTTCCAACAGTAATAACATGAATCGCCAATTCACATTATTGAATGCCTCTAAAAATATCAAAGCCATTTGTTTTTCAGGGTGTGCCTCGTAGTATTCCAAAGTGTCCAAAATTACTCTCATATTGTCTTTGATTTTTCTCTTTGGCAGAAATCCATTTTGATCAGGGTGGATAAAATTATTTAGGTATTTTTTAAGTCTTTCTGCCAATATTGAAGCAAAGATTTTGTAAACTGCATTTAGTAGAGAAATAGGTCTTTAGTTCTTGATTTGTAATGGGTCGGCCTCCTCTTTTGGGACAAGTGTAATATAAGCTTCTGACCATGATTTAGGTATCTTCTTCTTTAACATAACTTCATTCATAACTTCTAGCAACGGAAGGTTCAACGATTCTTGTAGTGTTTTGTAGAATTCTGCTGGAAGTCCATCTGGGCCTGGTGCCTTTCCATTGTTTTACTTCTTAAGTGCTTCAGTTAACTCCATCATCGTTATATTACTTTCTAACATTATTTCAATCTCTTTAGGTATCTGGGGTAAGTTAGCATTCTGTAAGTACTGTTTAACACTTTCCTCGTCAATATTCTGTTGTGTGTATAGTTTCCCATAGTAGTCTCGTATAATTTCCTTTTTCTCTTTACTTCCATAACAAACTTGGCCCTGATCATCTATTAATTGCAATATTTTCCTTGATTCTTTCTCCTTTCTCAGTTTATATGCCAATTTATTTCATCTATCATTTAAAAAAAGGATTTAGGAAGAGTCTTTCTGTTTTGCTTTGTTGTTTTCTGTACTGTATAGTCCAATTTATTGTCTACAATCCCATTAAAGTCTCCCATCATAACTATATTAGCATAGTCCAGTTCGATTATTTTCATATGTAATTTTCTACAAAATTCTTCATGGTTGTC